ACCTGCAATAACAGATAATTAATCACCATGTAAAAGCTGAGAGTGTACATGTTCACAGATAAGTTCAATCAGCTCTGCTCTTTGGGCGGAACTGGGGCAAATGGGGGAGGGAGTGCAGTACCTGATTCCTGCCACCGGTGGCAGTGTGGAGCTTGTGGTGATTTGTCATTAATTTATATGTTATCTCCAAAGGGGAGAAAAAAAAAGAAAGAAAGAAAAAACTGCTGACATGGTTTTCCCTCCCGCCCTGTGAATTACTAACAGTTAGGTGAGCAGCATTTGAATGGCCTGGAGCAATCTCTTTAAATGCTTTCTCCCTCGAATTCAAAAGCGGCCTGTGAAACCAGAGAGGACGATGTTTAATTATATTGCACTTGATAAAGAGGAACACTGATGCATTTCAGTTGAACTGAATCACAATGCCTATTTAAAGCTAGACGTAAAATAGTTTGTATATTACATTTGTTCCAAAAGAACAGGATCAATGGACTGTTAACCTGGAGAACACTTATCCATCCACAAAAACATATTGACATACCAAGCACATGCACGCAGAAGGAATTCAATCCCACACCCCCCCTCTGCAAGCTCGCAAACTGCAAATGTGCCTTGCAGCTCAGAAAGAAGGATTAGGCTATCAATCTACTCTACTCATATTGTCACCAGGCAGGAGAAATCCATGCTGCACAGCAGATACTGAAGCACACAATCTGTAAAGCAAATTATTCTTAACGCTGTTGTCCTCCTCATTTATTATAAAGACAGGCCGAGCAATCAGGAGGGAGAACAATATTTAGAAGCGCTTGTAAAGATGGCCTATCAGCTTTTTTAAGCCATAAATAGCCCAGGCAGCTCGACTTCCATAGACTAAAATAAGAAATTTAACATCGGTGACCTATATGGAGTCTACGGAGGAGGACCGATATCCACCGGATTAACACTTTAACCTCAAAATCTGATATCATTCTAAAGGCTAAAACGTTCAATACGCACCGTTTCCACGTCTAAATATAACTCGATCTGATGTGTCGGCCTATCTCCATAAATCATCTCTTTTCACTTTTCTCTTCCATGTAACTCAGAATACCCTGGGCCGAGGCTTATCAAAGCGCTTAGCACATTTCGACGAACTGTTTGCACATGCACTTTGAGCATCGCACGGGATGATTGAGGAATGATGACAAAATTGGCTCATTTTTTCGCTCCAGTAAAATATCTCCAGCATGATCATGCCAGATGCTTTAGTACATCGGGCCCTGAGAGGAAGCGAAGCCCCTGCAGGGCCGGTCTTCACCCCCCCTTGTGTCAGCGTGTGACAGCGCAGAGCCTTACGTCTGCACCAGATGATTGATGGCATGGTTGAATGCTCTCGCTCTTAACGCTCACTGTCTCAAATAAAGGAGCTTAATCATTGCTCGACATGACTGCACCATCCCTTCCTCCAATCACAAAGGTCCAATGTACCCTTGTAGCCAATGTTGTAAAGTCTCATGTTACACTGTTTTGGCCATTGGAAGCCTATTATGCTGCTGCCAGACTTAATAAAAAGGGGCTGTTCTGGCCTGTTACAGTTCTATACATCATACTGTTCATATACATTATGTTATTACATTACCAGGTAGTAATTTCTCTATATTGACCTATGTTACCAATTAAATTAAAGCAGTCAGTCATTTTTATGTACACGATTGTTTGATATTATAACTTTTCCTGAAGCTACATTTAGCCTAAAGTGTATTTTACAATCTGCTTTATCAGTTTTTCTTCTGATGCATAGTCACTTCTAAGAAACGGAGCTTCTTTGAAGACCATGATCTTGAAGCGGAATTCCACAAATTTTTCCAAATTTCTGCATAATTTAATCAAGGCTTAAAATCATTCAGAGTGGCTTGTTGTAGTGGTACTTACTGTGGTGCTGATAGGCACCAGGGATCATGATGTGTACGATACAAATATAGTCATATTGTTATTATTATGTCGATAATATTGATAATGGTGAAACAGTAGGTAATCTGAATAAAAAAAAATCTGAAAGTGTTTTTGGGTACTATTTTGCCTTATGACACCCTTCATGTACATCTTAAAAAATACATTTTAGACCAAAAACTATAATAAAACACTGTCTCAGGCATCAGGCAGCACATGCATAACCATTTCCTGCAATAACTTTCTGTGAGGCAGCTTTAAGAGGCTTATTAAACGTTTCAGACCGTCTGGTTCCTATCACCAGCATTGTGAACACTTCCTCAACTTTTTCTTAAATGGAACATTTCACACCAGATCTCTTTGAATGACTTTGGTTACATCAGAATGACTTCTTTACGCAGTCATTTGGAAAAATGGGCAGATGCTTCAAATGGAGCTCCTTTGAAGACTGTGATCTTGAAGGGAGATTCCACCGATTTTTCCAAATTACAGCATAATTTAATAAATGAGGTGAAAAGTCATTCAGAATTGTTGTTTGTACAGGAACTTAATGAATCTGCTTTCTTTACAGTGGTGCTGACAGGAACCAGGGGTTGTGATATGTACAATGCAAATATAGTCATATTGTTATTATTATGTTGATAATGTTGGTAATAGTGAAACAGTAGGTACAGTATCTTTGGGTACTATTTTGCCTTATGACATCTTAAGAAATAAGTTTTAGACCAAAACTGTAATAAAACACTGTCTCAGGCGGCATATGCATAACCACTTCCTGCAATAACTTTATGTGAGGCAGCTTTAAGAGGCATATTAAATGTTTCATAAATAGTTCATCAAGGTACAAACAATGTAAATGTTCCCTTAAAGGTACAACAGTGGTTTTAAGGTCTAATTGTGCACCTTAAATAAGTTTTTCCAGGTGAAAAGTTTGTATTTGCACCTTTTCATAACCGAATGTTTTAAAACAGAATAATAAAATAAAAAGCCTGGAGACGAGACGGGGTGTGTGGAGTCAGTACAGCTTAGAAAATATCATTTCAGTGGATTATGGTACAGTTATGTTCCCTGACTAAAGATACTGAGATGTACCCTTGAGGGTCCCACCCCAGTGACAAGAGGTGAACTGCCTCAGTGACAGGTTAGTACCTTTATTTCTGAGAGTGTACAGTGGTGCTGATAGGAAACAGGGGTCATGATATGTACAGTGCAAATATAGTCATTATGTTGTTATGATAAGAACAATATGATAATGCTGACTATAGTGAAATAGAAGGTAATCTGGATAAATAAAAAATCTGATTTCTTTGGGTACCCTATGACACCAAGCATTCACATCTTAAAAAAAAATAAGTTTTGGACCAAAACTGTAATAATGTCTCAGGAATCAGGCAGCGTATGCATAACCATGTCTTCATGTACACTGAAAAAAAATACATGAAGTAGGTTAATTAAGTACTTACATATAGTAATTATGTTAATGTAGCATATTTCATTCATCTTGAGCCAATGTACACATTTGAATCATGTAAATTTTAAGGAACCTTTTTTTCAGAGTAATAACATTCTGTGAGGTGGCTTTGGGAGGTGTAATAAACGTTTCGGACGTCTGGTTCCTATCACCAGCACTGTGAACACATCTCATATGGTAAGTGTATTCTTTAACAGAACACAGATTTCACATCAGATCACTGAATGACTCTGGTTACACTGTAACAAAGTTTTTATGCAGACATTTGGAAAAATGGGCGGAATTCCCCTTTAAATGCTTGGATATGAAATGCTAAAATGCTTCATGTTTCATAGTTCACAGTTTCTCACCATGTACCGCCTTTTCTTCCCCGCACTGGTTAAACCCATCAGCTCAAGTTTCTTGTGACTGCCATCTCTAATCCACAATTACAAGCCGTTCTCCTCGTGACTTGAGATAAAACATTGCATAAGACGACACACAAAACGCTGACGTAAACGTTACATCCTGTAATTTAGGCTATAGGCTAGTTGATATGCTGCAACTTTTTTTTTTCCCCTCCATGGCAGTGCTGAAAAATAATCTCTGAGACAGCGCACCTTTTTAATACCAACGTCACTTTTGAAAATGTCCAGAGAAGCTTACTATCCTGTTTGCTGATAAAACATATACCATTATATGCTCGCTGTTAGAAACCTAACAGCCCCATTTCGAGTTCCTGGAATCGTACGGCTGATGTTTTCTCTTATTTTTCAGCAGAAAATCCACAAGAGCCCGCTGCAAATTAAGTCGTTAGACTACAGATACATATCCGTAGCGAACTGGTTACATTACAGTATGTCAGAAGGAATAATTACACAGCCAGACTCGTTTTTAAAGGACTGTCAGGCTCATTATTTTGTTATGAGAACCTGTTCTACACTGCCCGTATGATCATTTTCATTATCAAAAGCCCTAATGGCAGCGATTCAGGGAAAAAAAAAACAGCGGCGTTCACTGCTCATTAATAACAACACAGAGCAAGAGCAGTATCTGGATGCAGTATTGCTGCTGTTCTCTGCGACCAAGCTGCGCTCTACCGCATTATCTGAGTTACAGTAGACCACAAAAGCAGAACAGAAATATTAAGAAAAGAAAAAAATCAAAGAAAATGAGAAAAGAATGAGAAAAGAGCGCCCCTGAATCTCTGCAGGTCTGCAGGAAATGCTCTCTTTATTACACACACACACAACGTCCTCGACACAGGTCCTCGCTGATACATAAAGCCATCCGTTTACATTTTCCGATAATACCGCCACATTTAAGGTTTTAAAAATTAACCAGCACCCGCAGCATTCTAACTTTTCTCTCACAATCCTGGCAAAGTGCAGCTTTCGACCTCAAAGCGCCCATGACATTTATTAATCGACGTCAATCGTTCTCCAACTCGTACGGTCTCGCAGGTCCGCACCGTGTTTCGAATTTAATATGATCGTTTCGCGCACGGAGCGGCGCCGAAAGGGCGTGAAACGAAACGGCGACGGGTGAAAAAATATTGGATCGCCATTGCGCACATTTTTTGTCCCGCCAGTTCGCTCGGCGTCGATCTCATATTGGGAGCCTGTGTGCTGCCCGAAGAGCAGATATTTCGCCCTTCCAGGACCGCGCAGCGATCCATTCAAGCCAACAAGTTTGGAGTGAATGTTGAGTTTAATCAATTCAGAGCGTCGAGATGGAGCCCAACTCACTCATGGTATTATCATCATTTACTACGAATTATACCTCGTTTTACATCAGTAGTCAGGGCTGACAAATGTATTTACAGCGCAGACACCTTTCGCTACATGATAGAGGACCTAAACAGGCGACTTGAAGAGAAAAGTTAACATTTTATTACTCATTATTGTGTTATCAGTGTTGAATGGTGGTGCTGCTCTGTGTTTCGTTGCTTTGGTGATTAGACATTCTTTCTTGTAACGGTCAATACGTTTGTATTTACGTGAATTTGCCTTTATAAGCATTGAACCGGGACAAAAAATTAATGTGTAAATTAATGACTTTCTCATGCTGTGATGTTTTTTCCCCTTCCCGCAGTGGGTAGGCTCGCCTTGTGGTCTGCACGGACCGTACGTTTTCTACAAGGCGTTCAGGTTTAACCTTGAAGGCAAAGCGAGGATTTTGTCCCTTGGCGACTTTTTCTTCGTGAGGTGTAAACCCGAGGACCCGGTCTGCATAGCGGAGCTCCAGCTGCTATGGGAAGAAAGGACGAACAAGCAACTTTTATCCAGCTCCAAACTTTATTTTCTCCCAGAAGACACTCCCCAGGGAAGAACTGTCACTCACGGCGAGGTAACGTTAATCACACATTTACTCTTCTTCTCGCTGCGTCTCGTTTCCTGCTTCGTAACGCGTTTGATACTCTTTCCACACTTGCTAATCGATGAAACACGACCTCTGTGTGCTGCTTTTTCACGTCTATTCCGCTTTCTGTTCGCTGCTTGCATTGAAACTGCTCTACGTGCGGCGATTTCCTCTCATTTTAAGTCATCTGATATCGCTGTTCGGCCTGATATTGCCAAACTAAGATCATATCACGTCTGATAAATAGCGCTGTGTTGCGATACCTACATACGCGATGAACGTGTCTTGTTCTGTTTTGTCACCCCCCCTCCAAAAAATTAACATTAGCAACTTGAACAGCGTGTGGTTTTTGCTGTGTTGAAGTTGCCTCAATGTGATCTTTTTTTGGCACTACACCGTGTCATATAGCAACAACAGTGCGGAAATTACGAAAGGCGAGAGAGAGAGGCTCAGTGTGGTGTGAGCTAATACTGTATTTGCAGTGGTGCACATGCTGGAGCGAAAAAAAACAAGCATTTTTACTATTTTTACTCGCTCTAGGAAAAAAGCTGACCGCATGTAAATGTTAAATGCAAGCCCTGCATGCGTGGGCTCAAAGCGAGAGGTTAGCAGTGTTATTACAGTTGCTGTTTATGATTATGATGACTGCACTCGATACGCTTTTAGGGACGAATCGATGATTAAAGGCAAAGCTGATCTGATCGAGCCAGCGCTGCCTTAAAGGCATCGAGTGACATTTATGAAGGTTATTGTGTCAAAAGTGCTGCAGCCTCAGTGCGCACACACAGACACACTGTGCACATCCGAGCAATCTGTGGAAAAGAGAGGAAAATAAATGTCTGTTTGTCATGTGGATTTAACCCAACACATGCTGATCGTGTTTAGTTTTCTCCTTCACCCCCCACCTCTGTTGTGTTGCAATACACGACTGCTTCTTTTTCTTTTTTTATAGCCAGCTGCTGGTTTGCGTGGTATCTGTACCTGTTTTATCTTGCACTACAGGTGTAATCAGAGAACACAAAAAAGTCAACGTTGAACTTTTTTTTTCTTACTGTACCTCTCTCTCACTCAGTGGATCAGAATATCAAATTTCCTTTTTATAATAAGCAACAGGTTTAAAACGCTTTTGTCTGGGTGAAATGTCAAGGTTAGGCATATGAAATGATTAAGAACATTAAGGCGATAGTATCGGGTATTGAAAGTGCGCCCAAGCTGTTGACACAACAGAGGGAGGTGGAATTGAGGGGAAAAACATTAGGACTTAACGCTCTGTTTGTTCACTTGATCAGACCCCTGTCCTCTTTCCAATTTGACACCAGACCCCCCCTCCACCCCCCTGCCGTTTCTCCTCCTCCTCCTTCTCCTCCTCCAGCCACCTATGCTCCTCCCCCCACTCACGAGCAATGCCAACTATTTGCTTTTCAAATTTATTACGCACACCCGATTGCTGATCTGGAAACGGCGGGGGAGAGAGAGAGCGAGAGAGATAGGATTACAAGGCCCAAGGACAATGCTCTCGACTTTTCAGACTGTTAGCCTACTTCACAGTGTAGGGGAAAAGAGATTTTTATCTGTCAGCAGCTGCCAGGTGACTATTTTTAGGCGGAATAAACGTGTTTAGTCGTGTTTTGCCTAGTCCACTTTTGCTCTGGACGCTCCAGTCCTGGACCGAGGGGAGAAGGATACGCATCAGTCTTTTGTACTGCGTGTCCTTTATGTAGTTGCTAAATGAGACATGCAACATTTAAATAACAATGAGATTGAGTGTCAACCTAACCACCTGCAGTAACGTGAGCCGTGCAACGCCTCCGCCTCTAACAGGCTCCATGCACTCAGCAGATTGTCCAATTAAATTACATTTGCATTTGCACCAAGCAGTCCATGCACTGCCTCTCCATAAAGACATCGTGGGAGAACGGGGGGGTGGGGGGTGGGGGGGTGAGCTTTCCTTTGTTTTTGTCACCCCGGGACATCTTGTTCTTGTAATAAATGATACACAGAAACATTTTAAGATACGCCCCCCCCAAGCATTTGATATCTTTTTTTTTTTTAGCCAAAGCTTCATTCCGTTGAAGAGTGCTCACAAGAATAGGGCCGATAATCAGCTTTCACCCAAAACGACAGCCAATGTGCTAATGTTTAGTGAGCGTACGTGTGTATGTATGCGAGCAGTAAATAGCTATGATTGCTGGGATAAAAGCAGGGCACTGTGTTTCCAGATGCTTTTTTGTTTCTACACCCAGGTGATGTAATTTCCCCTCTGGCTGGAGTTAGTCATTCATTAGGAGGATAGCAGTGGTGGCTGTAACAGCGCAAGGGCCCGCAGTGTTTCTCTCTCTCTCTCTCTCTCTCTCACTCACTCTCTGGCACTCGGCCTATAGAATTTAACACTTAGGCCTTGAGCCTAGAGAGGGCAACATTACACTCTCGTTCAGACATGTGCTGTTTCTACTTTGTTGAACTGACTGTATCTGCTCTCATGGGCCTTCGCAAACATGCTTTTCTTTGAATGCTGTTGATATTCTTCTTGTGTCGCAGAGCTCTCTTCCTCCTCTAATTATTTTCCTCTCTTCTCTTTCATCTATCTGGATTGGATCTCTCCAAAAAGAGTGAGGGAACTTTTCCTTTTTTGTGTTTTTTTAGTCATGTTTGTGATTATTCTTCGGAGACAATCTATCTAATTTAGAAAGAAAAACGTTTTTCGGTGAGCGGAGAAGACTGCTCCCACAGTGGGCTTTTTTTTCTTTTCCCTGTCTCCCCCGTATTTAATTGGACCCAGTTGTTCTGCAGCTTTGTTGCTCTGTTGCTCATAATATCAGCGCTTTGGCAGGAGTGAAAGCTGCATCGACATTGGCAATAGTCTTGAATAGCGCTTATGTGACATAAGGGCAGAACTAAATGAGGGTTTGCGCATTATAAATAGGTTCCATATCAGATTCCAGCAGGCACTGAACGCTTTCTCTATCGCGCCATAGTTTGCATAGCCACATACAACCTGCAGTATTACACAGGCAGCGATGCACCGTATGGATTGATAGTGGCTGTGCATTTGCATACAAACTCCATATTGTGCGTGCACTGTCGCATTGAGTGGATCTAGGGAATGGCAGTAATATCTAATTAGTTACTTCTCTCTCTGCTGTTACTGGAGTGAAAAAAACAGGCTAGGCCTTTGAGCCAGGGACTTTTGCAGAGGTGCTTTGTGGCAGAGATCCAAACCCGTCTTTTCTGCCTGGCAGATGTCCATGTTTGTGTTTTGAATGCCTGGGACATATTTATAGTTCAGTTGAGATCATCAGTCTTTCCCTTTCTTTTTTCCCCCGAAAGGTAACATTCTTTTCTTCATCAGGTGGTTTTTATGCTTCACATCAGCTGGAGAATGTGACTGATATTGGTTTACTAGGTCACGTGTCGCAGCCAAAAGTTAAACCTGATTGCCAGGTTGACGGTGGATATCTTGTTTTTAGTGGATTATCGGTATTGATAGCACACAATGAGACTGATTTCCAGTTTTAGCTGCATTTATAGGCCAAAATAAAGTTCATTTCACCACGTCATTTGCTGGGTGCTGATTGTTTTAAAGAGCAGTTTAAAATACATAAAAACTAAAATAATAAGTTTCCTTGTGGAAATGTGGTTTGTGTCTGGATACTGTTTACAATACTGCGTAAGATTCTATTTGGAGTAATTTTAAGAGAAGAAAACAGTTGAATGAAAATGAGCTTTGACATTTTTTTTAGCAGAGTAGCTGTACTGAGCATGCTTGGGTTCATTCAGAGTGGTAATTCCACTGAAATTTCTACATAATTCTATTGTTGAGATGTAAATAAACGCAGAGTGGGTTGACGTGAAATGGTGCACTGTACAGAAATGTACTGACTCAGATTTTCTTTGCAGTGGTGGTGATAGGAACCAGATGTTACAATGCCTACAACACAAATATAGGCTTTTTTATTTACTATCCAGAAAGTCCAGTCAACTTTCCCATTTTCTGAAATTGTATGTGTAATGTTAATGATGGTCAAATAGTGACAAGTGACTTTGTTTACATTTTAATGAGTTAACGAATTACATCAGTGGAATTACTCTGTAACTTTATTACTGCAAACTTAAATATTATTTGATAACGTGATACATTTGGAAAAAGTTAAGATATTGAGTTTTATCAATATTGTCCAGCACTGCGCTGAGGTATGCTACGTTTTTTTCAGTAATTAGCTCTCTGTGATGGTGGTTGTCTGTTAACCACAGGGAAGCCTTAAAAAAAGTTTTGCTGTCTAGATTTTCGCTCTTGCTGTTTTCCCCCCTCGGGCTTAGAGAAGACACATTTGCATTGCGCGTCTCTCTAAGATCTAGTGTTTCATGACAAATGGGTTTAATTTGGTTATATGGTGTCATCATATTTCACAGTAAGCCATGTTGTGCCCTCACATCCAAATTCGCACAAATGCCTATTGCCTGCATGCTAAGTGGCATTTGATATAGAGCAGATTTCAGTTGTGCATTTCGAGGTTATTTATGTCCCAGCCAGCGGTGCTGATTTCTTGACACTGATAAGTGCTAATTGCAGAAGTATAGATCCTCGCCATACCTTCTCCCAAGTGTGACGGGTGAGAAATAGAATTTGCTATGATAATACTATTTAGAAGTGCTATACCTCTTTGACAAGGTCTTGCCTCGGGCACTCGATTACCGTGTGGGTATTAAGAAAGTCTTTAACATGAGCTGTAAGTTTCTAAATGCGTGAATACTTATCAAGCTTTCTCCCAGGAGCCCTAGAAGGCTGTTTCAAAGATATCGGTACAGGTTACAATTGGGTCATGCTGCACTGACTGCCTTGTTTGCTCTCATGTCCAATTATATTAGCTTGATTTTTTCCCTCTCTCTCTTTTTTTGGTCTAACATGACAAAGTAATTAACTTGAGCTCTGGGTGAGATCAATTAATGGCAGGAAAAAATACTTCATTTAACATTCAGCTTTCAAAAAAAAAGGCTTCCTCTGGATCCGCTAGGCACATTTTTCACGTTACCAGGTCAATAACTCAATAGGCATGCAAGCAGGTGTACAAATCTGCAGTGACCTGGGGAATTCTTGGCCTGACCCCCCAGCTCAGTGGAGTGAGGCAGACTCAGTGTGATGCTGTTGGAGGGGCTTCGTTGGGTTACTTTACTGCTTCACTCAGAGCAGCTAATGCCTCTCCCCCCTCCTACCCCCCTTTAAGGTGTAATTACATGGAGCCAGTTGTTATTACTGCACAACCCCAACCTTAAATCTAAAACATGGCGTTCTGAAAAGTTCTGAAAAAATCTACAAGTGTTTCTGTTCATCCTTCTACTGTAAGCAGACAGCTACATGCAATGGGTCTGAAAGGGCATGTACCTGTCAAGAAGCTGTTAATGGGAAAAGGAAATAGAAAAAAGGAAGAGCATTGGCAAAATAACTTGGATTGTGAGAAGCAGAAAATACAAATTCCAAGAAATTTCGTGGTCCATTCATCATCAGATGTTCATAGAATGTAAAGGGCACGTATGTATATATATATATATATATATATAATATAAAGTGTACGTATATATATATTTATATATATATATATATATATATATATATATATATATATATATATATATATATATATACACATATTAAGTTTGGAAAATAAAAATAAGAATGAGCTCCGTAGATAAAGGGATTACTATAAATAAATTATTTCAGTGTATTATTTATCATTTATTAATTTATTGACAACAAGTGAAATATTAAATAAAACGTCATAAAATATCTTCTGGTATCTAACTTACAGCATTTCAGTCGACACTTTTTAAGATATTGAATCAAATTTAAAAAATGAAAATAAGTGATACTAAACTTTTGAAAGGGAGTGTATATATTTTTATATTTTTTGTTATTTTATATATTGTCGCTGTTGGAACAAAACCCTGTATCTCTATTTTTCACTTTTTTACATAATTTAAAAACACTAGCTCCCCTTCACATTTGTAAACATTTCATGATGAATGGACCAAAAGAAATGGTCTAAAATTACTTGGAAGAAAATATTTGTACATTAACAGCTCCATTATAAGTTAAACTCCTTAAATGACCAGGGCCCATCAGCAAGCATAACGTTTTAGTACACACTTCTGTAATCTAAGAATAGCTCAGCTAGTTTGGATTAAAGTCCTTGTAGTTACTGAACAATAGGCCTTAGTATGTAACAAGGGGTTAAGAATGTTTTTTTCCTTTTCCTGTAAAGTCACCATTTTGGAAGTGCCAGGTTTCGTACAAATACAATATGTATATGTATAAATACATGTGTTACATTTTGAAGCCTATTGGAGAAACCGAGACTTGCAGTAATATTCCAGTCAAAGCCAAGGAGCAGTGTCAGATCTTCAAAGCAGCAGGCTAGAGCTCATGATCTCATAGTAAAGTTTGCTGTGTCGCCATTAGGATTAACAGTGTTTGACCCACTTAGCTTTATAGGGGCATGGAAACAGATGCCTTTGCGCTTAAGTGGTTATTATGCACAGGGCTGCACTGGCCGTTGTGCTGCAATAACTTTAAGGTGCGTAATCTGGAGAGCCCGCAGGGAGACCGTTTCCATTTGTGGGGAGAATGAAAAAATGTTGTTTAGACTGCAGTAATATTCGGCCGTTGGAGGAGGAATGCCATGTAAACCTACTGGAATGCACACATCCCCCCCCATGGAAAATTAAAGGAAATTAGAGACATCACATTCATATCCTTGCTGCTTTTATTAACAGCTGACCCCATTGACATTGCAACACAGGGTTTGGTATGAGACAGTTGTGTAATAATTCGCTCACTGATTGAATTGTTTTTTATGGGCCATTTTTATAGGGCATTGCAAGCCAGTAGATGTTTCAAGATATTACTCAAATATGGCTCTGTTGTCCATATGACTCTCTTTTACTCATAAGTCTGGTATTGTTTGTTTCAGATGACAATGTCCTCTATTGTTTGAGAGCAAGAAGATGAATCTCATGTTTTGACCTAAAACAGTGCTAGTTGCCTAGATCGCCAAAGCGGTGCTACTCTCTAGATGTATCATAGTAGATGTATACTACATAAGGAGCATATTCAGCCCTTGTAAAAAAGGTACTCCCTGTGATCTGTGCTTGCTTTTATTGGATCATGTCTGGGAAACGTCAAGGAGAAGTTAGTGACTCTGCAGCGTTACTCCATTAGGAGAGAATGCTGGGGAATCAGTCAAAAGTGCTTGATCAAGACTTCTGGGAAATATTGATGCATCTGTTCCCCAGATTCCCTTCTGTAAGCAAGACTTCATGTTCTCCTCTACCAAGTCATGTACAAAACTCTTTTTTTGCCTTTTTTCTATTGGACATTTATAAGGATGACCAGAATAATTCAAATACTTGAGTATTTTTTTGCTTTGTTGGTATTTGTTTCCTTATTTAGTATTTGGAGGCTTCATCTTTTGTTAAACCTTTAGTTACAGGATACACCTAACAAACTGTTGGCCGCCAGATGCTGTAGGTGCATGTCGGCTGTCAGCTGTAGTGTTCGTGGTGTGTTTGAGTGCACATTTTTACACTTAACAATGGACATGATATTAGGGTATAAAAAGTCGTCATAGACAGGTAGTGTTAGCTAAACGCTACACAAATCCATGCTTTTTGCAAGTCCCTTTTTTTGAAGGACTGAAGCAAGATAAGTTAGTGAAAATGGTGAAAAAAGGGCAGACAACACTTAAACAAAGAGAAATAGCCAAATACATGTTAAATTGTTCAACTATAGTTTTGACTGTTGAACAGAATTCAAGCTAAGGCGTCCTCAGTCACACGTTTACCGGACATGGTACAAATTTATACACAGCACTAAGCAATGTTCATGCTAGAATTACAAATTCTCTGGTGGTGTGTGGTCCCTGTTGTTCTCTAAATTATGACATTTTGAAATAAAACTTATGAAAGCCGAGTGCCGTAGAATGAAACAAATAATCCAGACTATGTTCTGGCATTTTTTACTGTGATCTGTTTGTTTCTGTGCTCCAGACTACTTTCAATTAAACAGTTACATGGTGTTCAGCTGGTGTAATTACACTGCTTTGTGAGCTCCACCTCTCTGCTTGCATTGTGCTTCATGTTCTGAGAAATCTGCACAGTTACCTTTTGATAGCAATGTTCTCATTTGTTCAGAATTTATGGGTAAGGGAACATCCAAGTATGCAATGTCTGTCCCCTCCAGACGCCTGTAACCCGGTCTAATGCAGTACCTTTCTCCCTGCAGGACGAGATCATCGCAGTGTCAGAGAAGGTCATAGTGAAGTTGGAAGACCTGGTGAAATGGACGGTGTGGGACGCCTCATGTTGGAAGAAGGGCCTAAGGGCCATGCCCTTGAAGCCCTCCACACTCAAGGAGTTGGGCAAGAATGGCCAGAGGGAAGCCCTCCACAGATACAGAGAGTCCACCCTCAACAGCGGTCTCAACTTCAAGGACGTCCTGAGGGAGAAGGCTGAACTGGGTAACTGTCAATGGCTTTCTTTATAAATACCAAGAAATTTTTTTTTTAATTAGGACTGTGTAATAAAAAAAATATTTATAGCTTTTGGAATATTGGTCTTTGCAGTACTGCAAACAAGCCCTTCAGCAGATAACAAGTTTTTATTATGTGCACTGAGCATCATTACTAAAATCAATAATGTGATATGGTTGAAGATAGGTCTGCCTTATTCTGACTAAAATAATTGAATTTTGCTTTGGATTACATGAATACCTTGATTCATCAAAGCACAAACAGAAGTGCTCATCAGGAGCTCTTACTAGTCAGGATGCCTAGCACGCAATAAAACACACTGTGATTCATCAGAGGGCTCATTTGCATATTGCAGCTTTTTGCGATATCAGTTTTGCAAAGGCTAACATCGTGATAATGATTAACAAGCAATATATTATGCAGCCTTTAGTAAGGAATTCGTCAAACTCCAACGAGCAGTAATTTTGGTTTAGGAATGCTGGCTGGTATTTATTCATTTCACATCAAGGATATACCAATGTGTTTTTAGTATCTTTTATCACAGTCGATATACATAGCTGCATAATTGCAATGTGTCATTTTGTCCATACCCATAGCTCTACTATGCATATGTAAATAATGACTTGGAGCAATGGCTTGTTGGCTGTTAGAGTGCACTATAAAAGCACGCCAACTCTATCTTTTATCATTCCAACTGAACAGCTCTTTAGAGCATCCTGATGCTGAGACGATGAAGATTCGACGCCAATATTGGAGGTCATCTTTCTCACTCGCTTCAAGGCTGTCTTGTAAAAGAAGGCCAAGCTGCCAGGGCTTTATGACAGCGATCCTCGTTCATAAGCACATGACAGATTCAAAGAAAGGACTGACTGTAGATAAGGCTCACTGTGCTCCGGCCAGTGTTTACCTCCCGGTGTGGAAAAATGTACTTCTTACGACCCGCGATCTATCATTGGGAGCTCTTAATCCCTCAAATATTTGCAACCCATTTCAAGTGTCCATTTAACCTGCATCCAAGAGCGAAGCAATGTTTGTAGTTAGCCGAGACAAACAGGATGTCTTCACAGATAAGAGTGGTGCGCTCAGTTGTCAGTAAGGGTGAAATGCAGCAATTTTCATGTGATGGATGTGGTAAGAAAGCTGGCGATAGTCATTATGGTTTTTGAAGGAAGAACTCAGTTAAATAATGCTAATGATACTGACAGAGAATGAAAGCAAATTGTGAACATCATGCTAATAGGTGGCTTCCATTTGTGATTAGCAATGTTAGCATGCTTGGTCAAGCATCTTCTTACATTTTGTTTTGAAAACAAAGAATCCTCAGATTTTTAAAAATGTCTGCATAATTCACTCATTGATACATAAGTATAGTTAATCAGAGTGGTTTGGTATGAAATGGTTCATTGTAGAGAAACTCTTTTTTCACAACAATGGTGGTGATAGGAACCAGGGGTCACAGTGTCCACAACACAAATATAGCCATTTTATGTACTATCCTAAATAATTGATTAACCTACATAAGTCTTCCGCCTGATGACCCCCGCGACCCAGAAGGATAAGCGGTTTAGAAAATGTGTGTGTGTGTCTTCTGAGTTTTAAATGTAAGGTTTATTATGTTATAGAAATAGCGGTACCTACAGAAAACTACCCTGAAACTTTTTTTAAAAATATATTTTAGGCCAAAACCTAACATTAGATGACAAATCTCAAAACAGTCATAAAACAATGTAAGACAAAGGAATTAGGCAGCATCTTAACCATTTTACTAACCAGCTTTCTGTGAGGTTGCTGAAAAAATGCTTCAGACATCTGGTCTCTGTCACAACCATTTTGACTTTAATTTTGTGTAGAAAGGTGCATTTCAAACCAAACCACTGTGAATGACTTTGTTTACATCTTAGCAATTTTAATTTGCAGAAATGTTTACAAATTTGTACAATTCCCCATTATTTTTTCACTGAAGCATGCAATAAAATTCTGTCAACAATGTGAATTTAAACTTTCATTGCCACCTTTGTGTTCATATGTAGAAGATTATGATTTGTGTGTACAGTCTTGTTTTGAGGAAAGAAAAAAGCACCCTGTTCAATATTCCCATGTTCTTATAATCTCTTGACATTAAAACAATGGAGAAAAGCTTGAAGTGCATGCTCAAACCTGTCCATACAGAAAATGGAATGTAAATGTACTTCATTACCTTTGAAAGCTTACATTTAAACTTGGCAAGTTTGGTTCAATTAAAACTAATCCTGGTGTGATTCCTCTGTTACTGTGGTTTGTTAGAGCAAGTGAGAATGCTGCCATCTGAACACTGGTGTACACCAAATAAGGGGTCTGAGACGCGCTGAGCAGGCCAGTTTTGGTTCGCTTCAAAACAAACTCTGTTGCAATTCTTTTTGAAGTATGAATGTAATACAGATCAAAGACATTTAAATGGACCAAAGTCAGATTGAACCATTGTCTCCTCTTTGCAGAACTTTAGTACATGGAAAAGGTGTTTCTGATGCTGTTTTGACACGTGCATGTGTTTTATCATCTGTTCATAAGCTCTGAATCTGTAATTATAGAACAGATAGTTTCGGTTTTAAAACACGGCTGAGGCATGTCTGAGGTCATTATTAAATATTTGATATACACATAAATTGTATTATATAATAAGGCGCCAAGGCTCCTCTGTTTTGTAAAAGTAGTAAGCCACCTGAGGATGTTACAGCTTTGCGTCATGCAAAACCAACATAACGTAGTGGCTCATTGCTCTAATATCACAGATAATAAGACAGATAAAACGAGACATAAATAAAACCAATGAGCCCAGATCAGAACAGAGAACAGCATTATTCAGAAAGTTCTGTGGACATTATCATAATTATTGTATGTCAAAAAATCTGCCCAATCAGCTGTGATGTTTTACTAATATGATTTTTGTTTGCATCTTTTGGTTTGATGTTGAATGTGTTAATGTGAACACTAAGCGAACCAGAGTTAAACTGCAACAGTGCGTCATTCCTGCTTTGGTCCAGACCAGGGGAACCAAACTACAAGTATAAATGTACCCTTAAATAATCTAACAAAACGACTGTAACTCTAGACTTTTAAGAGGTTAATGAGAGTGCTTTGTTGGTTAGGCATTTGCCTTGACACAGAATGTAAACCAAATGTAAATATAACTCATTGTGTAGCTAACTACGTTATTAATTATGTAATTTCATTTGAATAATAAATTTAGATTGTGTAATAACATGTAAGTAGCAAAATGACAGTAATAACTCTAGACTTCTAAGGGTTAAAACAGGCAGGGTGCCACCTCCTCATCAGTATTCCCTGCATTTCCCTTTCATTCCTCTGTTTACATCTGTCATTGGCTTCGAACAATGTGGTGTCTAAATGTTCATTAATTTAGGAGTGCACTAGTCTCAGCATGATTATGTTTTTTCTCTGATTGCATTGTTAAGGAGGAAAAAATAGAATCCCAAGTGAAAGGTTGCTGGCGTATTCGCTTTTATTGCGGTGTTTGAAACAACATGACATGCATTTATACATCTGTAACATGCCTCAGTTATCACAAAGTCCTTCACTGTCGAATATAAACGCTGCGGTGCAAGCTTTATGGCCATATAAATATGTCATTTTGGCTGCATTCCTGCATAGCAGATACCTGCTGGAAGCCAAGAAATGGCCAAACAAGAATAGCCACGTTTTTCTGTGAAGTGTCTTATTTAAGTGCATAAACTGGTAAAGCAGAGCGTTCATTTTTTTTTCCTTTTTTGCTCCAGACCATTTAGGTTTTGCAGGCGGATTGAAAAGACATCTAAGCGAGCTATACTTACATATTTCCCCATTTAGCGGGAGGGAGTAATTATACAGCAGTGGACGGACAGACTGACTTTGCCAGTTGCTGGAATTTGCATACAGCTTTGTCTCAGTCCATGGAAGCAAATGTTAAATTGCCCTTGAATTGGCTGATGTATTAGCTGCCTATACCGAGATTAGATAGGGGAATCAATAATGGATGCTTTGTCACTTAAGCTTACATGGAGGCTACAGCTGCGAATGCGAATCAATAGGAGGGCAAGAAAAAAGATGTGTGATTTATTTACTGTCACTCTCCTAACCTTATTATTTGTGCGCATTGTGAGGGTGCCGTTTCTGTACTGTTAATAAGTCGCTTTTTAATGACTGTATTAGCCTGTTTATGTTGTCAGGATTCTAAATGCACTTACTCAAAGTGCCCGCAGATACGCTTGGTAGGCAAAATATTCTGGCAGAGGACCAGGGGCCATCTCTGTGTCTCTCTGTCTCTCTCTCTCTCGCAATTTTCTTTGTTAGCCACAGAAAGAAAGGGATCATTCAGCAGGGCAGCGCTTTTCAGTAGCAGAAGGCAGACTTAAAAAGCAGCTCCGCTGATGGGAAATAAACCATTAATTGAAACTGCCACATGAATTAGACATGTCAATTTTGGGCTCGGTTTTGACCTTCCACTGGCTTTTGCGAGCAAGACTATTTATCTTTTTGAAGGGTGTATTGAATTAGCACGAATTGTAAGTGACATGGAATAAACTAATTTGCCTTTTCATTTTGAATCACAAGCAGCGATGAGGGGGCCTTTTGGATTTAAGATGATGGCTCTTCCATCTGTTTTCTTGGACCAGAGTGTTTTTAGTGCTGCTTAACGCAGGTAAAGAAAGGGAGCTGTCTGCAATTGATGTGGAAATTGCCTTGATCATAAGTGAAATAGCACACTGCACATATAGGTGTTGGCCATAATTGAAGCCTCTGAATAAAAAAAGCAGTTGTTCACCTGCAAAAATGGGAAGTGTTTTAATAATTAAAGGAGAGAGTTTTTTCTTCAGCACACATGGATGACAGCCAGTGGTAGAGTGTGCCAGAAGTTGAATGTGAGAGCGCTCCACAAAAGAAAGCTCCCTCTAATATTTGGCCAGAGAGCTCATTTGCGTCCGTAATCAGTTTACTCCACGCTTATCATCTTC